TTGAATTTCATGACATAACAATCACAGTTAATTTTTATTTGTAAAAATTGCCATAGGTATATTGTAGGAAATTTCATTCTCTTTCAGGCGGTTTTTAGTTCGTATTTCTAAGCTGCATAGAACGGAAAATATGTAGTTTTTTTCTGAAAGTCTACAATATTAAAAGGGCAACGTCAATTTAACTCTGGCAGCAGCGCAGTCGTGGGGGTTTAAATGCCGACTCTTAAAGGTTAAATGGACGAAATGTTCCATTTGTAAATAGTGCAAAATATCTAGGTGTAATCTTCGATAAGAGATATACATGGAGACTGCACATAGAAATGATTGAAGCCAGGGCCTTCAGAACATTCATTAGGGTATATTCCCTATTCAAAAGTGAGTGATTGAGCGCTAACATTAAAATGACCTTCCACAAAGCTCTCATTAGATTCGTAATGACTTATGCTAGTCCCGCCTGGGAGTTTGCGGCAGACACCCATCTAGTGAAATTATAGCGCCTGCAAAACAAGGTTCTCCGCACCATTGGCAATTTTCCAAGGCACACACCGGTCTGCAATTTGCACACGGCATTTAAAATCCCGTACATTTATGACTTTATAACAAAAGTATGCAGGCAACAAGCAACAAAATCATGATAACAAAAATGTTTGCAATATTGGACAAGGAGAAGACGGACATAGAAAGTATACTTGGCGGAGGTCAGGCATACGACCGTTCAAGTCACTAGACTGCCGTGGTAGCGAATAATACTAGAAATAGGGCATAAGCTGCTGTACCGAGCCTGGATTGACAAAGGCCTTGTATATATTGTACATAGAAATAGGAATTAAGATTAAATTGTAAATATATGTAAAATCTGACAATGGACTTACTAACACATACTATGACTGACAAATGACAGACCCGACCTCTCGTCAGAGAGGGCACCCCAAATGAACAGGACAGTAACTTTCATATAAAGAAAGAAAAAAATCTGGTCATGAGTCGCAGTCGGGGCTCGACACCAAGACAGACAGACTGACTGACCGTCAGTCGCAATGTGACTTTGACTTTGACTTGACCTAATACAGTCAGTCGCAGTCGAGAAGCCATGACTCGAGGACACAAAGCCATCGTGGCAAGGAGTTCTGAGGATCCAGCTGTTAAGTGTTAACAGACATTAAGACTTTATGTCTTACAGTTACAGTAACCTTGAGAGTGTTATAATTATTTGCAGTTACAGCTTATCAGTATACAATAAATCAATTCACCAATCCAAACCCCATCTAAAGTCACTAATAATCCCTGATTACATTTCTAAGGGAAGAACTTAGTTTGTAGCGCACTTTCTATACATACAGATTTTGTCGTGACAGTACAAGGTTGATCCGTCCTTCAAGGGGTCGCTTCTTTTCTGGAATTGACTCCCATGTCTTTCTCCCCATTATCACTGCATTCTGTTTGGTGGAATCCTTTGTGCACTTGGTCATTCGTGAAAAGTGTGCCATCTCTTTTCTGATGAATACAATTATGTGAAAAGTTAATTACATTTAAATTGTTATACAAGAAATGTTTTAGAAGATTTCACAAAACAGAAGTATAAGCTACACCTGTATTATTCCTCAAGCCATCATGCATCACCGACAGACAACATTCACAAAATGATAATGTAATGCTGTGTGTACTTAAACAGCAGCAAACTAAAGTTGCATCAGAAATGAAAAGGTTCATTTCCCATACACCCCAGGGGATTTGTAGAACCACACCACTATTAATTTGGTTTGACTTTGTTAGGCCCGGTTACCTTAGAGGGATCTGTAGCAGTATCCGCATTGTTACCATCTGTATTCTAACCTTCCAAACTGTAACTCCATATAGGTTAAATGTTTATAGAAACAAACACATGGCCCCTTTCACGGTTGTGGTTTACATAACGTAAAAAAAACAAACTGTTTTTCCATTGGTTATTTGACAGCGTTTTCAGTATCAAGGCTATATAGCATCAAATGGTAGGTTAGACGATCAATTAAGTGAAATAAACTTTGTTGGACGTGGTCGTGACCTAATCTTGGTATCATCTCAGCATATCTTGTGCGGGAAACGCAAAAAAACATAAAACCCGTCTAACAGGCTAGCCGACGTCCCGGCAGAGAACCTAACCCAGCAGCTTCCGAATAAAATTCTAGGCCGTTACCTCCCCACCATCTCGTTCGATCCCAAACTTCTGACTTATAGAGAACCTGTACATATATGCACTTTTTTGTGGATCTAAATAACATAATTTCTCAAGTTACTCACATTCCTTTCTTAACCATTAGAGGTGTAGGCTCGTTTTAAACATACCTTAATCTCCAGGGCAAATCCCCATTTATACCGATACCCATATTTTCACTAACTGCTACAATCAGATTCAGTTTAAAACTCATTTTCAACCTTGATGTTTCCATGACTGGTTTCTCATAACCCTCATAACCATTGTGAACCATGAACGTTGTGACGATTGTGATCGATTGTGACACCTATCGCATGATGTAGAAATGTAGAAGTTACAACTTCTCGCATAAAGCGACAAACGATGTGATTGGAGACTGAAAAGTGCTATATTGTATAGTGTTCGCTGGAGACCAATTAAGGGCCGTGTTTCATCATTGATATGGATACGTAGGTAGCCATTTATTATTAACAGAAAAGCGCACAAATGTGCATTACATAGATTCTGGTTTTTAGCCTTTGCTATAATCACACAGAGATTTATGGTTGTTTTTACATCTTGTGATGTGGTATACATCGCAGAACTGATCACATAACGAGCACACGCAGTTTTCGCTTGGGTCATGATAGGACATGTTTTTACATATTTTATGGTGGAACCCGTGCACTGCTAGTTTTATCACCACGTGTCTTAGTCTCTGGTTGGCGTTGGTCCAGTTCCGGTTCAACATGGCGTCCGTGCTGTAGAACTCTAGAGCCTCTAGANGTCCGTGCTGTAGAACTCTAGTGGTATTTCTTCTCTTTTCCTCCTCACCGTCAGGTGTGCTTCTACATTTCTACATTCTTTGTGGACGGCAGCCGTAGCTTTATCCTGAGCTCTTCGATGAGGAAGGGCTCCTGTGTCAGTTCATATGTTAGGCGGGAGCGCGTGTATTTTGAAATGCCCATTATGGTTTTCAGGAATTTTGCTTTCACTCCCTCGATGTTTAGGTAGCCATTTTGAGTTCAGGTATTCGAAGAAGCCATTTGTAGTAGAAGGTTGTGTTGTTGTTGACTCTGCTGTGTTGCAGTGAAATAATGGCCAAGATACCCGAAGATTTTGCCTGTTTGTTAGCTGAGCTATGCACAAATCGCAAGTCAAAGATCGACAAGTTGTCGGTGGATGCTAATAGAAATATTAAGTATGCCCCGACAATCGTCGAAGTCGTGGAACACCATCATCAAAAGGTTAGTTTTAAGGTTTTGCTTGATATTGTCGCATCCTG